GCTCTGATCATTACAGACATCGTAGAAGTGAAAGTGGAGTTTGGACTAAAGGAGCTGTTACAGAGAAACAGCACAGCAGCAGTTGGAGGAAATGGCTGCTAGAAACCCTCTTTCAGAAGAAGAGCTTTCGTGTCCTGTGTGCTATGATATCTTCAGGGATCCTGTTGTTCTGTTGTGTAGCCACAGTGTGTGTAAAACCTGCCTGCAGAAGTTCTGGGAAACTAAGAGATCTCGAGAATGTCCAGTTTGCAGAAGAAGATCCACTAAAGATCATCCTCCCTGTAACCTTGTACTGAAGAACGTGTGTGAGGCTCTTCTAGAGAGCAGGAGTCAGAGATCTTCAGCAGGGTCTGAGGTGCTCTGCAGTCTGCACAATGAGGAACTCAAACTCTTCTGTCTGGATGATCAGCAGCCTGTGTGTTTGGTCTGTCATCTATCAAAGACGCATAAAAATCACAACTGCTGCCCAATAGATGAAGCTGTGACTGAGTTTAAGGTAGGACACATCAAATATTTTGATATGTTAAATGTAACAATCAAATTGTTTGAAACAGTTCAGTACCAGGTCAAACTGTTATGTATGCTAAAGGTGAAGTCAGCCAGTGGGTGTGGTTTCAGGCCAAACAGCACAAGTGAATTATCAGTCAGAAAAATGCTCTGTTGTTAAATTCATTTTGACGGTCAATGTAAAATGTAAACTTACAGAAATATTACTCTCCACTGGACACAAATAAAAAATCTCTTCTAATTCTGAAGCAGAAAGTAAAACTGCTATTATTCTCTCTTCAGCTGTAGTGTGTAGGACAACTATTACATTTAAACAGTTAAACTGATCACTCATCACTCATTCAGATGTCACTAATCTGAACTGTTCTTTAATTGCAGAATAAACTCAAATCTGCTTTGGAGCCTCTACAGAAGAATCTGAAAGTCTTAGAGGAAGCTAAACAAGACTATGACCAAACAGCAGCTCACATTAAGGTGAAACATCATCTTGAATTGTGAAACATGTTGCTGAGGTCATGATTCTGATGAGTGTCCACTTCTCCTGTAGGTGGTAAATGCTTGTAGATCATCTGTTAGAGTTTGTGTTTCCTAATGGTCTCTCATTCCAGACGCAGGCCCAGCACACAGAGAGGCAGATAAAGGAGGAGTTTGAGAAGCTTCACCAGTTTCTAAGAGATGAAGAAGCAGCAAGGATAGCTGCACTGAAGGAGGAAGAGGAGCAGAAGAGTCAGATGATGAGGAGGAAGATTGAGGAGATGAATGGAGAAATATCATCTCTTTCAGACACAATCAGACACATAGAGAAGGAAATGGAGGCTGAGGACGTTCTGTTCTTACAGGTAAGAATCTTTCTTTTTTCTCTCTCTCTTTGTGATTTATACACACAAAAACTGCTTCTTTCTCTTTGTACTTCTGAAGGAAGTGATTTTCATACCAACATTAGAAAAGAAAAGGTGAGTTAAATGTTTTAGTGTTAAAGGGGAGGATCACTATGAAGATCTCTACAATCACAATAATCCACCATGTGAGATTGTTAGTGTTGGGTACTGTGTGCATCTGATGCCTGTAAGGTAGACATAGACTAAAACCAGGATAGCTGATGGGTAGAAGAGGCGAATCTAAAAAGTTTTACCAGAGATGGAAGGAAGTTCTCTCAGGGTGACACGTTCACATGGCATCCAAGTGTATTTATTACACGTTTATATAGCAAACTATCCATGCAACCTCCTGATAACTGAGCAAATTTTTCAAAAATGCAAAACAGCAGCAACCAACATGCAGAGCTTGTGCATTTTGATTTACAGTGTTTGGAAGTACCTTCACCAGTACTTCTGCCATCTATAGCCTGAGTCTTCACATAAGGGAGAATTTAGTCCAGATTTAGTCGGCTAAAGCATACTGCCACTGCGGGCATGAGATAAATGTTTATGGACTCTTTATATCTTACCTCTTATGACTTCTTGCGTAGAAGTAGACATTTGCTTTGATATTTTGACATCACCCTTTTAGCTTTTGTAGTGAAAGAGCACAGTAAGTACCAAATTTGCAGACCAAATATTTCTAAATTTTAGTTTTAGAAATGGGTAGAAAATGACAGGGTGTGGTCTGTTGCACTCTCAGTTTTAAGGGTCCCCCTGGGCACCAAAGTTGGTCAAAATTCAAAATACATGACACACCAGCGCTAAAGAGCAGAAAGCTTGATAGCAGCAGTTGCTAAGCAGTGATTAGCAGAGGTGGGAACAAGTCACTAATTTGCAAGTAAATCAAGTCTTGACATTCAATTCCTGAGTCAAGTCCCATGTCAAGGCAGTCGAGTCTCGATCCAAATTTAGTACAAGCAAGTCTTAAGTTGAGACTCAGGTCTTGATCTTCGAGTTCTAAACAAGTCAAAATGAATTCATCACCTAATTTAAGGCAATTTCAACACTGAACACCAAAACTGATGGTAACAGTACTACAGTCGTTTAATTGCAGCATGTTCGCAGTGTGTGGCTCTATATTATTTTTTATTATTATTAATTTTTACTATTCCAAATAAAATAAAAAATCCACGGTACACAAATGACAGATATAGCTTACACAAGGAGTAGTGAGTAGTAAGGAGTAGTATAAATCAAATAAAAACTAACTCAGCGCTAAAACTCAGCAAACTAAAAACAAACACTAGCTTGAAAGTAATTTAAACAATAGAAACCAAAATGACTGAGTTGAGCTGAACAAAGTTTACAGAAAAGACAGTAAAATAATGGTGAATGTACGAAGCTGAAGTTGACTTTTTATTTGCCAGCAGCTTCTTCTTCAGATTTTCCGTTCGGTTCCGGTGTGTAACTTCTGCACCATTTAAGGTGGAACAGCAAATTCAAATATGAACCTGGAGGATTAAAAGTCAACTTCAGCCTCGTGGTGAACGCTGAGCTTGTTTTACCTGCAGAAGCTGTTAAGCTCTGTCAAATTCAGAGAGCTGAGTTTCTGTTGTTTAACTACCATGAGGAAAATGGTCAGATCACCTGGTAAGATTCTCCAGTAAGAGTCTAAGAGCTGAGCTGGACTTATTGATGCCATTGATGCTCCGCTTGTGTCTGTCTTATGGAGGTGAACTTAAATTCTAATGCTTCGCTTTTCTTCCTGAATTAATTAAGCTGAGCATAAACTCACTGACAGACATTTGAGGAAGCTGACATATATCAACTTTAGGGGAGGGAACAAATCCTTTCACATGAAAAGTCAGCAGCTGTGTAGAGTCCTGTCTGCAGTCAGACTCTCCACATTTCTTCCACTTTGGGTCTCGAGTCGTTCCAAGCTCTAAGGCTCAAATCCGAGTCAAAGTCCAAGTCACTGGTATTTAAGTCGAAGTTGAGTTGCAAGTCTTTCTTGATTTTGTCGAGTCGAGTTTCAAGTCATCAAATTCATGATACCAACCGGACTCAAGTCCAAATCATATGTGTCGAGTCTACATCTCTGGTGACTGGAGATTAAGTCTTAAGTTGAATTTACCTGTAGTTCAGAACAAGTGAAGGTTAACTGAGTAACAAATACAACTCCAGGTAAATACCTTTATTCATTTAACTTGCAAGCTGAGAAGGTAACTACAGAGTTAATGACACAAACCAAAGTCCTTATAAGAAAGTCTGTTCACTCGACAGCCACTTTAACACGTCCCTGAGCAGGTATTTCAAGTCATACGAGACCAGACTCCTCTCTCTTTGAATGAGGAGAGACCTATAAAACCGAAACTCACAGCCACATCAACATTTCGAAATATATTTAAATCACTGATAAATTCCTACAGTGTCTCAAATTCTTGTGTCAATGTGCATAAATAACACAACAAAACATTGTTTCAGTGTTCTTTATGGTCTGCATAATTAAGGTTAATAATTAGGGGGGTTAAAGCTGTAGAGGAGGTGGCAGCTGCGACCTTTTGCCGCCCTATAGATCTGCCCTGATGGCTGATTCCAGGTTGAGTTAATAGGAAGCTTTAATTGTCTCCTCCAAAAGATGCTCAGCAAACAGAAACAGGCTTTGAATATGTGTGTTTGGGTGTGTAGAGGTGTGTGTGGTTTCTGTAAATCAGAAAACAAACAAAAAGCTTGGCTACAGAACATGATATTTACTCAAATGTGCAAATTATTCATTATTAGATGTAAATAAAACAGTCTGGATAATATATAGAATTTTATTTTGCTGGTTCTACTAATAATCAGTACTGAGATATAAAGTGAAAGGTGAATCTGGTACTTCAGTGCAGATTCCAACAGAGGGCGCTCTAAACACACACAGTGATAACACACTTGGCAAACTGAGTCATTAACTGAAGACTAGCTTGTCTGTTAGCATATTGCTAATATAGTAACACTCAGATGTGAACAGTGTCTCCAAGAAAAGGAACTTAAACTGTAGCAAAAACAAACAGCAGTAAAATAAAGCAAATAACTGACACTGTAATCTGCACAACTGTTAGCAAAGTCAATGAGAGACAAAGTAGAATTAGCATTATCACACTAATTAACACTGACTTTAGCAGAGTCAGCACATTTCTCAGTAAACAACACAAGAAGGCCACATAAAAGATTATTACAGTTTCATTAATTCACACAGAGACCACAAACACAAAGTAGAGTACAGTAGTGAGCTCTGCTGGGAGGAAACTCAAATAGAAGAACCAAATATGTTTATTTACTTATTTTATAAATGAAGACAAAAGAAATGAGCAGATCTTCTGACTCTGTATCTGATCATCAGTGGAGCCTCTCCTGGATCCTCTGAACATTCCGCCTCTGCCGCCTCATCATCCACAAACCTGCTGCTTGTTGTGTTAGTTTGGCTCTGGTTCTGTTGTTGGTGGTTCTCCTGTAATTCTTAGCTGTGTTTCCAAGTGAGTCTCATTAGATCTTCACCTGCATTTGTTTGTTGATGACTGGTTGATGGATTTGTTTGCATTTTGCTCGTCGGTCTAGTTTGTGATCCCTGCCTCTCAAAATTCATCCAGTCAAACTACTTTATCAACATCTGACTGATTAGATTAATTTATAAATAACAAACATAATGAATTTTATTAAGTAGTGATTTAGAAAGTGAAGTTTTATTGAATATTAAATGATAGATAACGTCACTAACTTGGCTGTTTGCTGGTGTTTGTGTGTTTCATATGAAAAACACCTGAAAAGTCTCTTCACTTTTAACTACAATGTTCTTTTTGTTTCCCTCTCAGAACTTCAAGTCTACAGAGAAACAGTGAGTAAATGTCAGATCACACATTTTATCTAATGTTAAATTCATTATTACATTTAAATCTACAGTATATTGTATTTATTGTAAATATGAGTGTATTATAATGAAATGAAGGTGAATAAGGATTGTGTGTTAATGTTGTAGTGATGAGAACAGTAGCAGAAATATTTATTTAACAGAAACAACAGAATTATTGACTCGAGACAATAAATGTCATAAAATATTGATATTTAGTCAAATAAATTACAGGCTGTAAAGTTTCTACAGTGATATATTTCACACAATCTTCTATTTTCAGAGCTCAGCTCAAACCAAAGGATCCAGAGAAGACATCAGGAGCTCTGATCCATGTAGTGAAACACCTTTCCAACCTGAAGTTCAGAGTGTGGGAGAACATGCAGGAGATTCTCCAGTACAGTAAGTTCTGTTTCTCTTAGGGTTGATCTCTCACACACAGTCTGCTTCTGCACTAATGACACACTGTTTATAAACTATTAGTAACATGTTATCATGTCTTTATTCAGGGTGTAAAAAGGACACTGAAACTGTACTTAAGTGAAAGTATGAATACTGTACTGGGCAGAAATCTCACTCAGATAAAATATGAAGTATGGAGATAAAAATATACTCAAATCGAGTCAAAGAAAGATGAATCAATGCTCAAATATATTTCAACTAGAATGCGAATCATATTTTTTAATGTATATTATTAAGTATAATTTTTAATTTTTTAAGTTATTCATAGACTTTGCAATTGTTTTATTCATCCAAGGACATCACTAAAATTACATTTTACATTTAAATTGAGGCAAATATTAAATTGAGGCAAATATTAATTTGTGTCTTAATCATAAAATAGAAAGACTTAAAATACCAATTTTATACATTAATTAAAAAAGTATATCATATTAATTACACAAAATGTATGCTGAAGGGAAGCATGTCTGGGGGTCTTTGTACTCCAAATGTCTGTAAGTTTGTATTTTCACTTCATATTTTAATTTTTTTCTACTCAAAACCAACTTAACTGTTCTCTGCACAACAACTCAGAATAATGTATTTTATAACTAATGTTATATAGATTATAGTGATAATAAAATAAATAATAGATAAAATAACATATCGATCAGTATTATATAATGACCAAAAAAAGCAATGATCAACTGACCACAAAAAGATTTAACAAATCCCCATAAAGGAGCGAAACGGATAAAAAAATCTGAATTAATTTTAGGTTATTTTAGGCGTTCAGTAAATGTGTCAAGATTAGATTTAACCTTGTCATTTGATCAAGAAAGAACGTGTACTTTATCATTTATAATAATTTATAGTAATAATTTATAAAATATAAAAATGTATCACAAAATGATCTGAAAGTCAGTGTGTGTGAAAATGTTAATGGATGTTCAGCTCTGTGAGTGAATCACTACAGTAAAATGCTGCACTCAGATTAGATCTGTCACTGGACTATAATGACCATTCACTACTGAACATACACTTTAGTGCTGCACGGAACTGAACATCAACATTTAGTCCAGGATTAAAGTTGATCTGTGTTCTGGAATCGACCTCTAAAGCTGTTTTACTCACAGTAAAGAAAATAGTCTGTAGAGGTAAAACATTTACAGAAATGAGAGAAAAACATGATGTTTCATTGTGTTCTCTCTCCTCAGCCCCTGTTACTCTGGACCCCAACACTGCACATCCAGACCTCCACCTGTCTGATGATCTCACTGCTGTAGAATACAGAAACCAGAGATCATCACTTCCTGATAATCCAGAGAGATTTGATAAGTATGCATGATGATCTCACTGCTGTAGAATACAGAAACCAGAGATCATCACTTCCTGATAATCCAGAGAGATTTGATAAGTATGCATGTGTTCTGTGTTCTGAGGGTTTTAACTCAGGGAAACACTGCTGGGACGTCCAGGTTGGAGACAGTGATAGCTGGGACCTGGGTGTGATACCAGAGTCTGTAACAAGAAAAGGAAAATGTTTCTGGCGTTCAGTGTGGCGTCTGGAATATTATTCAGGTAAATACTCGATACGCTGTCCAGGACAGTCAGATCTCTCCCTCTCACCTAAAGAGAAGCTGCAGAAGGTCAGAGTGCAGCTGGACTGGGACAGGGGGAAAGTGACCTTCACTGATCTTCTACCCAACACACACCTGCACACTATAACACACACTTTCACTGAGAGAGTTTTACCGTATTTCTTTAATGGGTCTGATCATCCTCTGAGGATCTTACCAGTGAAGACGTCAGTAACAGTGGAACAGCACAGTTAAAGTTGATGCTGCTTAGAATGAACATTTATACAGGTAGTGAGTGTCTGAATTATGATCATAAGAATATGTCACTACATGTATATTTTAAATAATGTGTTTGTACCATTCCATCCTAACATGTCTGTGTGGAAGTAAAATGCTGATTTAAAGTGTCATAGAGTGACTCCTGATATCAGTACAACATTAGAAACGTTATTTGAGTGAGATTTCACTCATTTTCAGTGTAGATTTTATTTCTCTATCATCCTGCATTTTTCTCCATCATTAGATCTTTAAAACTCTGCTTTGGTTCAGAGATTAATAGTTTACTGTGTGAAATAAACTGCATTATATTATAAACTGAATGCATGTTGTGTATTGAATATTATCCCACAGAATCATATAAAGATCATCCAGCAGATCAAATGGAGGAGATCTGTCTAAAGCAGTGACCAACACACACCCAGAGACAGACTGACCCAACACACACAGTGTAATAACACAAATATTATACAAACTCATAATGTAATAAACGCTGATAATGTAATAAAATCCTCCTCCAATAATATAATAAACACTTTAACACACAATGTAGTGAGATATTACATTATACACTGTTTATTACATTATAAAATGAATAGAGGAAAATTTAAATCACATAATGTAATAACACATTAAATCTTGTAATAACACACTAAAGTCTTGTTTTAATTAATTAAAGAATAATGTAATAACCTGAACGTTTAATACAAAAGTGTAATAAACTGACTGGTTTAATAATCTGACCACATTTCAGGTCATTTTAAGTGTGTCTTCTATCTGTTTAAACTGTTTGTTAACTAGTAACTGAATGTCATGATAAACAGTGTTTTTCGTTCGTTCTTTCACAGCTTTTCTTACTTTCTTCCACACAATTCAGGACACAGTGTCTCTGCTCTCAAATGAACAAACACATTTTATAAATCTCCAAACACAGAGTGACCATTTATCACACTCACTATGTAGCTCCACTCACAGCTTTGATGTGTCTGATAAATGTGTTTTAAATGCAAGTTGTTTTTAAATCAATTCGTTTTTTTCTGCAGTTTCTAATTTTTGGAGCGTTTGAATATTTTCTGTTCTTTCTTTGATCAGTGAGATCAGAAGAGTTTAGTCTGATTGATCAGGACAGACTAAATATTTATTCTCTGCTGCTTCATCAGAGCACAGATTACACCAACAGCTGAACAGAGGACTTTTATTGGTGATTCTACATAAGCAGTCCATCACTGTCTGCTTGGATGGAGCTGGAATTATTAAGACTCTTTAGAAATATGAGGGAGTGAGAGCTTTACAGTGTTTTTTAGGACTGACAGACTGCCTGCATTACACAGACTCCACTCACTGGATCTTCATCAGTAGAATCTTCTTTATGATTGGACAGAAATATGACCAAAGGAAAACGACTGTAGTGTAGAATATAATCAGAAACACAATGTTTACACAAAGTTTATTTATAGGAAATGAAGCAGTGAGAAGAAAACAAAAGTGATAAAGACTAGTTCAGGAAGAGCTAAAAAAAGCTAATATACAGTCTAATAAATGCTACAAAGGCAAACATATTAAAGTGAATGTAGTCTTGATTAACAATTACGTATAGAAAACAAAACAGATAAGAGACAATCTGTAATAGGAAATTGAGACTGTACTGAAAAATATTAATGAACTTGTAACAAATACTATTAAAACATTTTACAGAGCATTGAGTGATTAGAGAAAAGACTGTTAAAGTTTTACTGACATTAATAAATGAGTCTTTTCTGTTTTTTCTTTTTCTTTTTTTCTTTCATTTACGATCTTTTTGTTTCTTGTTACAGTGAAAATCCCTTCTGAATGATGACGACATCACTGTCCTAGCATAGTTGCTGAACTGTTTTATATACAAATCGTAGAAACATAATTACCACCACAGTCTAATATTCAGGCTAGGAAGTCTTAAAAGTCCATGTGTATGTTCAAGCAGATACACAAATATACTCAGAGATAATAATGATGGTTGAAGGTGACACTGATGAATACAAGGATGGTGATTTAGTCCAGACTTCCTCTCAATGATTCACATTGCTGAGTATTTCACACTGATATTCCTTTACAGTCGTACGTCTGTTACTGCACGCTCCCTCAGCAAGTCTAGATGGCAGTCAAAATATCTCAAGACTGGCTATTTCACCAGAGACGCATATAGCTACTCAGAGTAGTTGAAGGTGGAGAAAAGTCGCCTCTCCGCAGCCATTTAAAAACTTAACTGGGCCTGGACTGTTTGTTTCGGACACAACAAGGTATAAAAGCAGAGAGCACTAGTCGAAGTTCTCTCACAGTTTGCAGCAGAAAAGGCAGCTTCAAATTGCCCAGATTGAGCCTGACCTCCCTCAGTGTGCCGGTAAAGAGCTTCAGGATAACTGCTTTATTAATAGGGGAGAGAAGAGCACAACCTAATATATTTTGGTTTTTGTGAAATAATTAAAAAAATATTTAAGCTGGAAAAATCATGTTTTTATACAAGGAACATACAGATATCTGCCACCAATGAACACTTTGTTTCTAAGACCTACATTCATGTACAATTCCACTGAAAATGATGGGAAGCACAATGTTACAGTTTAGCCCATGAGTGTGTTAACTGTAACAGACAGAAGGTCAGGGTAACACTTGCTAGAAAAGTCTGATGAATTAGCACGAACAAAGTTAATTCGATATAATTCTATGTTGTAAAAAACAAATATAATTTTCCAATGATGCCGTATTATATTTTATCTCAACTGATACTGAGACAGACAGCTCAACAGATACACACACACATCAAATTATGTATGAAAAATGACATGAGTTTGTGTGTCAAAAAAGCAAATTTATTTTTTGTCTAGTTTACAGCAAATAAAAAAAAATTACACATCATCAAAATAGGAAATTTTTTTTCTGAATAACTACAGCGTAACCAACTGATAATGTCAATTTCATTGATATACTTTTTAAAATCCAAAATACTAACAATACTAACAATGTCAATCACAAAAAATCACTTCATGTAGTAAAAAGCAATAGAACTACATACATAAATAAATCATCTAAACCGCTTATTTTTCTGCGTCGCGGTGGGGGCTGGAGCCTATCCCAGCTGTCATTGGGCAGAAGGCAGGATACAATAGAACTAGTCTTATTTAATACTTTTATAAATGATCTACTCAGTACTACACCATAGATAATCTAACTCAATAAAAATACCATAAAGAATTTACTGAAACACCACAAATAATCTACTCTTTCACACACCACAGATAATCTATTCAGTCACACACCACAGATAATCTACTCAGTGACACACCACAGATAATCTACTCAGTCACACACCACAGATACTCTACTCAGTGACATACAAAAGATAATCTACTCAGTCACATGCCACAGATATTCTACTCAGTCACACACCACAGATAATCTACTTAGTCACACGCCACAGATAATTTACACTTTCACACATACCAAAGATAATCTACCCAGTCACATGCCACAGATAATCTACTCAGTCACACACCACAGAAAATCTACTCAGTCAAACACCACAGATAATCTACTCAGTCACACACCACAGATAATCTACTTAGTCACACACCACAGATAATCTACTCAGTGACACACAAAAGATAATCTACTCAATCACACGCCACAGATAATCTACTTTTGCACACACATGACATATAATCTACTCAGTCACACACCACAGATAATCTACTCAGTCACACACCACAGATAATCTACTCAGTCACATACCACAGATAATCTACTCAGTCAGACACCAGAGATACTCTACTCAGTCACACGCCACAGATAATCTACTCAGTCAAACGCCACAGATAATCTACTGTCACTCACCACAGAAAAAGTATACTAAATCACATATACATAACAGATAATCTACTCAATCACATACCACAGATACTCAAGTTAATCTCACACCACAGATAATCTACTCAATCACATACCACAGATACTCTACTCAGTCACACGCCACAGAAAATCTACTCAGTCACACGCCACAGATACTCTACTCAGTCACACGCCACAGATACTCTACTCAGTCACACGCCACAGATAATCAACTCAGTCACACACCACAGATAATCTACTGTCACTCACCACAGAAAAATGTACTAAATCACAAACACATAACAGATAATCTACTCAGTCACACACCACAGATACTAAACTTAATCTCACGCCTCAGATAATCTACTCAATCACACAAAGATAATCTACTCAGTCACACGCCACAGATAATCTACTCAATCACACACAGATAATCTACTCAGTCACACGCCACAGATAATCTACTCAATCACACCACAGATAATCTACTCAGTCACACACCACAGATAATTTATCCTTTCACACATACCACAGATAATCTACTCTTTAACACACACCAAAGATAATCTACTTAGTCAAACGGGACAGATAATCTACTCAGTCACACGCCACAGATAATCTACTCAGTTACACACCACAGGTAATTTACACTTTCACACACACCACAGATAATCTACTCAGTCACATGCCACAGATAATCTACTGTCACTCGCCATAGAAAAATGTACTAAATCACACACACATAACAGATAATCTATTCAATCACATACCACAGATACTCAACTTTATCTAACACCACAGATAATCTACTCAATCACACACAGATAATCTACTCAGTCACACGCCACAGATAATCTACTCAATCACACCACAGATAATCTACTCAGTCACACGCCACAGATAATCTACTCAGTCATCACACCACAGATAATGCTCAGTCACACACCACAGATAATTTACCCTTTCACACAGACCACAGATACTCTACTGTTTCACACACACCACAGACAATCTACTCAGTCACACGCCACAGATAATCTACTCAGTCACACGCCACAGAAAATCTACTCAGTCACACACCACAGATAATCTACTCAGTTACACACTACAGATAATCTACTCAGTCACACGCCACAGATAATCTACTCAGTCACACACCACAGATAATCTACTCAGTCACACGCCACAGAAAATCTACTCAGTCACACGCCACAGATAATCTACTCAGTCACACGCCACAGATAATCTACTCAGTCACACACCACAGAAAATCTACTCAGTCACACACCACAGATACTCTACTCAGTCAAACACCACAGATAATCTACTCAGTCACACACCACAGATAATCTACTCAGTCACACACCACAGATAATCTACTCAAACACACATCACAGATAATCCACTAAATCAAACACCACAGCAAATTCATTCTTTCAAACGCCACAGATAATCTACTCAG